TTCCTAAAGAAAACAGAAAAATAAGTATTCTTTTAAAAACTAATATATTTTATTACCTTAAACTAGAAATGGCTTGAGTAGACAACTGGAATGCTAGTTAATTATATCCAGAAAGGATTAAGACCAACTATTCCTAAACTTAAGTTTTGTTTCTGTAACTACCAATCTCACAAAATAAATTATCACACCTGATTACCCTGGCGTACCTACTACAAATGGTTTATCTTGAAGGGTACATGAGAAAAAAGCATTGCTCAAAACTAGCAGCATTGCTCAAAGTTTCAAAGGAAACTTTGGCTTAAACTATATACTTACTCAGCCCACCATATTTAGGAAGGAGTCCTCATTATGTTCCTTGAGTTTCATAATGGACTATTACCCTACCACAGATCAACCTTTATTCTTCATTTTTCTTTTGCTCCTACTTTTAAGATCAACTGTCTCAACATATGTTCTCAACTCACCTTGCAACACAAAATAGCTGCACTCTGATAATTCTTAGATAGTGTAATTTTGAACTCATTGCTACCTACTACTATTAAAAATTGAGTTAAATAAAAAAAAATTGAGTTAAGAGATACAATATTTAGAGAGAACTGCTCAAAGGTCACATAGGCCATCCATTCTCTAGAAATTCTAAAATCTAGCCCTTGGTCAAGTAACAGAAACAGTAACCTGAGTACCTGAGCCACACTGTAGTGACTACCTAAGAACTGTTCATACTTTTACTGAATTGTACCTTGGTATGATAACAACAGTCCACACTGAAGACTGGTAAAAGAAAAGTCCCAAGAAACCAAGGCTGCCAGAATATTGTCTAGGAAGCTGTAACAGTATCCAAGAGTATCTGCACTTCAGAGCACAAGTATGTTTTCTCTCTCACCCAGTGTCAATGACTAGAGAGTTCAGAGCCAATCTCACAGCCTATAAAGACAAGTATCAAATTACCATTGCTCTGCTTTCCCTGACTCCATTTTATATCATCCCCACCTTTACTTTTCTTTTCCTTCCACTTTTAACTTCTGCTTTACTGTTTTGTGATAATATATATGTATAAATAGTTTTAAATTCTTTTTAGAATGAAGCAGGGGAACACTGGAATAAAAAGACCAAGACAGTTTCCTAGGACCCTTTTAGGATCCTTTGTAGGCTCCAGATCCACTTAACACTCTGGATAGAATTCTGTATTTGATCATTAAAGGTTCAGGATGAACTAAAGCCAAGTGGTATAATCCATAAGAATTTAATTACATAGACTTGATCTTGGTCAGGTGACAAGGAGTTGGCGAATTTTTTGATTAAGACTACTGCTATGTAGTTGAGCTGATGGCTTCTGATGTTTCTAAGAGGTTATGTATAAGGCACATGATTAAAAGATTGTTACTAAAACTGCAACCACTCAGTAAATTTTACTTGGTATACATTTCCTTCCTGATGCAAAAAACTTTTTGGAGATAAATCTGACTCAATGATTAAAAGATGAGCAGTAAAGGATAATTTGTTATTTTTTTATAAACAACCATGGCAAGTTGCTGCTTCCTTAGGAAGGAAAAAGGTGAGGGAAGAAGAATTTTGACCAAGTACATGGCATCTCCGGGACTTGAAAACGGCTTAAAAAAAATAAAGAAAATATTTCCCTAACGATAGATACCACATACTGAATGGAGCTTGGAAGCTGAGAATTATCTAAGGGCTTACTAACAGGGGAAGAGG